GGCACATACTCCCAAAGTTTCAGCCTTCTAGCTTTTCTGGTTCTCGAGTTGGAAGTGGGTGACAAAAAGTGCGAATACACACGCACACACAGCCCTTCCCAATATGCGTTTTTGCAATTTGTATATATGCAAAAACGCTTTAAAAAATGGCATAGCTATCAGCTGCACCATTGGTCAGCGTCCCGAATATAATTCACTGGTGAACCAGTAAGTGATTGCGGTATCAGGAAAGTTTCCTCCTTTGCAAAAACCTCACTGGCGATTACGGATCAGTGATAAGCAGCGCAAAATTCAGAAAGAAATCCATATTTGCTATCACTAATTAAAAGACCATCTCTCTTCAATCCAGCAGTTTACTTCCGCAACAAACTGATATTCATGAAGGTCTAGAAGTCATAACTATCACAGGCTTGCTTCTAAGCAACTCTCGAAAAAGACGGCCATCAATAGCCTAGCTAGCAGGTGATTAGTAATGGTATTTGCTACCACTCGGACTACTTCAAAATCCTCAAATCCTTTTCTTCTAGTAAAATCGGCAACAGAATTTCAGTTCTGATTGTCATTTGTCACGAAATATGATCCATGCTCCTCAGCTCTATCACTCTCTTGGAGTCAATACACATGAGTTTTACCCGTCGAATCCATACGAGCGATCATCCATTCCAATGTCAACAGCTGGAGAGGCGCCAACGTCCATCCAACCAACTTTCATGAAACCGGGAGTGAGTACTTCAAATTCGAAGTACCATTTACCGCTGGAAACAGCATAGAGCGCTTCGGCACGATAAGTTCGAGAGAGCGACTGCATCGCTTTCAGTTCTTTTTCCGCTCCTAAACTGAACTTTTGACAATCGAATTAGAAAAAAAGGGATCGAAATTATTAGTCAAAAAACCTGTTCAATTAAAAACTCTTTTTCAGTAATTCAGGTCACATAGCTAAAGTTGATAAAATATGCTAACAGCTGCGCAAAACTATTTTTTGATGAATTTTTATTTCGGTTTTGAACTCCCCTTTACGCTGCAACGTACAAATTATACGAGCGAGTAAGTTAGCTAGAAGTGGCAACACTCAGAACGTGTTGATGACGCTCAGCACACACGAGCGACATCTCGAAGCAGCTAAAGTCATGTCAGATGCTTTCGCCAGGAGAAGTTCGTTGAGCGGTAACTCATTTAGGAGATAAAACGAACGTCAGGATCGCCGGTAAGTTAACGAACGTCAGGCAGAGTCACTAAAAGCAGACGGACTACAGGGTGTGCAGCAATGGTTGAAACAACAGAAAAAGTTACCAGCTGTACAAATGAAAAACCATGGTATCAAGGACAGCTAGTCAAAATATCAGAGCATGTCTTCAAAAAAGGACATATTTCTAACCCTCATCATGCTCGAGGACAGGTGGTTCCAAGAAGATGCCGAACAGCTGAAGAGCTTTGATGAATTCCGTTGCGGATTCTTGATTTGCTTCTTTGATTCGCTGATCAACCAATTCGTACGGTACCAGATGTGGGCTACGTTTCTGACTTGAATCCACAAACTGAAACAAACACCGGCAAAGAACGATGCTAGTATGTTTTTCGCAAACAGCTTGCTTGTTTTCCAGAACTGGGCACAATTGCATATAGATTTATATCTGATAATTGATAAGTAGTAAACCTTTAAGCAGGATCTTCTAAGTAGACTATTCTAAGACACATTATCAAATAGAAGAATAGAAGGATTTCACTTGAAAAAAGTTGTACTGAGAATACCGCTAAGTCACAGCTTCTACCTGGCATTTTTCCAGCTAAACACCCAATTTTCCTTCTACCCCAACGTTTAGAAACATTCTTCTGGTTTTTAACCTCCCCTTTCCCAGTAACTCTAGGAAATAATTACCTCGTAAACAAATTACGTCAATCTATCTAAATGGACTGTACTTGAGAGGATATAAGTGAATAAAGGAGAAGTAAAAAAAATACCCATGCAGAAACAGTAATATGGGTATAAACAGGAAGAAATTAAAACTACACATGTATATATAAAGACTGCTTAGGCTATTAGTGCCAGTATCCCGTGTTAATGCTGTTACTAGGATGCTCATACACGCTGAAAGCGATTATGCGAATTCCCTCATTCTTGAAATGCACGCCTCCAGTTGGTATCTAACGCCTATTTTGTGTATGTAGGCCACCTCTTTGGGGGTCACGCAAACGGTCGTTTGCATGCCTGTTAGCACCGCTACTAATGCGCACTGTCCACTTCTCGGCAGTATGAGCAATATATTTTGCCTACAGAGTTTTTCTTCCTCCTGTGGAACCAATGATATTCTGGATGTTGCTCATCAGACGGTGATTCTTAATGTTTATACAGTCTTGGTGAGATACGCCAAGCATTCTCTCTCCACCACTGCCACCACTTGCTCTTCAGTTTTCGCAATTAACAATGTTCCCCACTTGTACATAATTGCTTTCGAGGTGTTGAAGAGGTGTACACGGTCTTTCCGATTCGCCATTTTGAGGACATCAGCATAGCTATGGAATTTACTCCAACCGGCAGCCCTTCGCAAGCTCAGACCGGGGACTGATTTTACTTTTATACATCTATAAATGTGTCTAATGCAGTGCTAGTGATAATATATAATGGCATTACTTCTAATAGTTACATACGTAATAGTATTGGCTAGGATAGGGAAACTGGGGTCCACTGAATTGCCTACGTAAAATGCATCACTTTCAAAAATTGTCTG